AGCGGTTCACGGTCCAGTCTCAGAGCAGAACCTCAGAGTCGGTGTTGTCCCACTCGAGTCCACTCCTTGGTGGGCACCTCCCCCGCGCAAGATGGTGTCAGAAGAGAAGCTGTCTCACTTTAGCTAATGATCTACTGCTTAGACCATTTTTCTGGAGACACTATACAAGGAGAAATAATCCCATTAAACCAGATACTAGACTCCTACAAACACATCAGCTTAGTGGTTTGGTACCCTGGGAAGTAGGAATGCTACAGCCAAGACTTTGCCCCGACAGAAAAAAGAAAAGTTTCTCAAAGAGAGAGAAAAAAGCTTTAGTTAAGTGTTTAGTACTATGTAAATACGTGTAGGGAGTAGTGTTGAGTCTGAGCTGGTACATTCAGGCAGTATTGCACCATTCAGTGCTGGCATAGAGGATGAGGCTGCCCGCAGCCTGAGAATCCCTGCATCATGTTGTGTTTGCAGGACAGATGTGCTGTACGCACCCACATCTCCCGGGAGCAGGGAGCGGGCTGGGGGCGAGCTGACTTACATAATGCAACCCTGAGGCTTATTGTCACTGGGGGTTTGTCCAAAAATGTTGTACTGCAACGCTGCTGTCCCCATACAGTTTGAGCCAAAATGCCTGTTTGGAAAGGAGGATGCAGGCAGCGTAGTCTTCCTAGTACAACTTTCAGCATAGGGAAACTCGCTACAAAGCAGAATGTGTTTTTACAACCTGTGGGATGTTGTTACTGGTGGGAGTGGGAGAACTTAAGTGTCATCTATCCAATATGCCATTAAATGCAACCAAGTCTGTTAACTTCAAACACCAAAAAAAGTGATTTTTGTGCCTCATTTTTCCTTCTTGCACTTTTAATACCTATATAATCTTTCCCCGCAACATCCCAAAACTTTATGTTGCATCTAAGGAAATAGATACAACATTTGCCCGTTTTCATTAGAAAACTAAATCTACCCTTTGGATTAAAATAAATCTGTCCTCTTCCCATGCTGCTTCTCCACCGATATTTCTTGCACATCTGGAGAAGGGAGCAGGACAGGCAGGTGAGTTATTTCCCTGGAGCAAAAAGACAAGAATCCTGTTCTGAAAAAAAATCTCAAATCTGTCCTAAGACGTAGGAATGTCTACTGGAACACCTTAACAATAATTCCTGTATACAGGCAGAAAGATTTTTCTCCCAGAAGAGACTCAGCATGCATAGGAGATGATAAACTAAACCAAATCAAGATGCTGACTGATATGCCTGGACGTGAACAGGAACTCAAACCATGCAGCCTTACATAGTGTACTCCAATAATACAAGCTAAAATTCAAAGCCTGAGCTTAAGTTGAGTGAGGAAAGGAACTAAAAGAAAGGGTTATTGAATACTAAAATGGACACAGATGAAGAAACAAGAGGAATTAAGAGTAACTGGAATCTGAAAGCATACCGTGTATCGCAGAAACTATGCCAAAGGACTTGGCACCTTTCTCTGACTATCCTATCCTATTATTCAAGTGCATTAGCATCATCAGTTAAAACACTTCAGTCACCTGAATTTGCACAAACTTTCAAACTCCATGTCCTCTGATAACTGGTGCTAGGGGCCATGCTGCAACTCAGAACGGAGCCCTCGTCTTGGATAGGGGATATATAATCCAATGAGCCCCGGGGCTCAGTTCTGGGCCCAGTTCTGTTTAATATCTTTATCAATGACCTGGATGAGGGGATCGAGAGTGCCCTCAGTGAGTTTGCAGGTGGCACCGAACTGGGCGGGAGTGTCGATCTGCTCAAGGGGAGGAGGGCTCTGCAGAGGGACCTGGGCAGGCTGGATTGATGGACCGAGGCCAACTGTATGAGGTTCAACAAGGCCAAGTGCTGGGTCCTGCTACAGGCTTGGGGGAGAGTGGCTGGAAAGCTGCCTGGTGGAAAAGGACCTGGGGGTACTGGTTGACAGCTGGCTGAATATGAGCCAGCAGTGTGCCCAGGTGGCCAAGAAGGCCAATGGCATCCTGACTTGTATCAGGAATAGTGTGGCCAGCAGGAGTAGGGCAGTGATCGTGCCCCTGTACTCGGTGCTGGTGAGGCTGCACCTCGAATACTGTGTTCAGTTTTGGGCCCCTCACTACAGAAAGGTTATTGAGGTGCTGGAGCATGTCCAGAGAAGGGCCACAAAGCTGGTGAGGGGTCTGGAGCACAAGTCTTATGAGGAGCAGCTGAGGGAACTGGGGTTGTTTAGTCTGGAGAAGAGGAGGCTGAGGGGAGACCGTATCACCCTCTACAACTACCTGACAGGAGGCTGTAGGGAGGTGGGTGTTGGTCTCTTCTGCCAGGTAACAGGTGATAGGACAAGAGGGAATGGCCCTGAGTTGTGCCAGGAGAGGTTTAGATTGGATATTAGGAAAAATTTCTCCACTGAAAGGGTTGTCAAGCATTGGAACAGGCTGCTCAGGGAAGTGGTTGAGTCCCCATCCCTGGAGGTATTTAAAAGACGGGTAGATGAGGTGCTTAGGGACATGGTTTAGTGGTGGAATGGCAGGGTTAGGTTAACAGTTGGACTTGATGTTTTCCAACCTAAGCGATTCTATGATTCTAATCAGAGCACTGATTATCTCTGAAAGCAGGGATCTGAACCTACATCTCCTGTATTTCAGACAGCTCTTAAAGTTTGCTAACAAAGTTCAAGTTTTTCCTGGGCTACTTCATCTTGCAGCAGCATCTCTGTATTATCTGCAGCTCAGCTGAAGTGAGCTGGAGTAAAAATTAATTTCTATTAGTTGTCTTCTGTCACAGTTGTCTTAAGAGTATTTTCTGGGGTCTCAAGGTGATAGACAAAACTATTAGAGAGACGTGAATAGTTCTGAATGACGTGTAAGCAGTGATTTTTCTAATAAAAACATTTAAGCCACTTTTCCCAGAAACTTTATAATACTATTTTAGAGGTTACCTGTAAATTTTTACTCTTTTTAGAGCAGTATTACGGCAACTAGAACTAGAAACTGGTATTGTAAAAACTAGCAGAAACTGGAGTTTCTTTTCATACAAAAAGAATTGTAACTGTGGATCAAAGCCCTCCCCTCCTACACGTATTTTCTAGCCTCTCTGTCATACAACAAAAAAGAAATGAAAACCAGCAAATGCAAATGACCTGGAAGCAGCATTTATGACTCTTTTTGGGTATAGTTTGCCTAATGAACAATGCAAGCGAATCCTCATGCTTCAGCTTTTTGCATATAGGGTTTGCCCAGCTCAAACGACAAGATTTTGTGCTGGGGAAAAATGCCCTACTGGTAACGCAGGGAAAATAAATTAGGTGGGCATCAGCGCGACCGCAGGTAGACAAATGCAGAACTGAACAACCGCGCTGAGCCCAACAGGCAGGCTCGGTAACGGGGGCACGCGGCCGGCCACCGGCGAAGCGCGGAGTGAGGAGGCGCGGTTCACGGCCGCCTGACATTTCAGCCCAGCGGCGCCCAGCCTGGGGTGACGGAGACGCCCCCGTATTTCTTAGGGCGAATTCATTTGTTTTGGTTTTGCTTTGCCCACGGATCCAGGAACCGCGGCCAAGGCCGCAGGCCAGGCGGTAACACCTTCCCAGCGCCCAGCAGGTCAAGGCCT